CCCTGCGGCGGCAGCTGGGAGAGGCGACGGGCCGGCACTGCCGGCGGCAGCTGGGAGCGTGGCACGGGCTTCGGCAGCTGGGAGCGGCGGCACGCCGGCAGCAACCCCCTGGATCCCCAGGAGCCCTGCCCCGACGCCTACTCCAACCTCATCATCCTCGCCGTGCCCAACAGGGTGAGCGGCCCCCGGCGTGTGCCCCCCCGATGGCACACGGCCACCCGACGGCACCCACCCGCCCGCGTTCCCTCCCTCCCTCCCTCCGTCCCGTTGCAGGATGCCGCCGAGGAGTCCTGCGCGCTCATCTGCCAGGTCTTCCAGATCATCTACGGGGACCAGAGCATCGAGTGCGTGGACCGCGCCGGGTACCACTACACCTCCACGCCCACGCGGCCCTGGCTCTCCAGCAGGAGTGAGTGGCCGGGGACAGGCGTGGGGACACCGAGGGGGACGGCGCGGGGCTGGCGGGCAGGGGTGCGTGGGCACAGCGTGGGGGGCGGGTGCCGTGGCAGGGGCTTGGCCCCACTCTGAGACCTCGGCTCTCCCTCCCCAGGCGAGAGCTGCCGCACAGACGGGACGTACGGCTACGATGCCGACTTCAGCTGCTGCAGCTCTTTGTGAGTCTGGCTCCCACAGGGTGCCCCTCCACCCGGGTGGGTGCCTCTGCCCCAGGGTGGGTGCCTCTGCCCCAGGGTGGGTGCCTGTCCCAGCTGCAGAGATGCCCCAGCCCTGCTCGATGGTGGGTGCTGTGCAGCACAGGGGGACAGGCGGTCACACGAGGGGTGCCAGGACCGGCTGACCCCCATCCTCCCGCAGCAACGGCTCCCATGAAACCTTCGAAGCGTATTACAGCGGTGCCTCCTCGCCCTCCTTCCACCGATCCCACCACAGCCTGGCCACCGCCTGCAGCGGCAGCGACCAGAGCGGCGCGGGGCTGGAGCAGCTGCAGGACTACATGGTGACGGTGCGGGCACAGGGCCTGGTGAGGGGCCCTGCTCGGTGCCAGCGGCCGGGGACGGGGGGCAGTGGGCAGGTCTGAGCCCCCCGCACCAGAGAGCAGCCAGTGGGGTGCGGGGTGGGGGGGGCGGCGCCGTGTGCTGCCGGTGTCCCCAACCTCAACCCGTCCCCGTGTCACCACAGCTGCGCAACAAGCTGTCACCGCAGGAGATCCAGCAGTTCGCCCTCCTGCTCCGGGAGTATCGCCTGGGCACGCCGGTGCGGGAGTATTGCGCCGAGCTCCTGCGCCTCTATGGGGACCGCAGGAAATTTCTCCTCCTGGGTAAGTGTCTGGGCTCCCGCTGCAGCCACCCTGTGTCATCGCGTCACCCTGGCGATGTCCGTGCATCCCTCAGGGACGGGGTGCTGGTGCCGGGTGTGCTCTGGGGTGCTGCTTGCAGGGACGGGGTGGGATGAGCCCCCCTGCAAGCAGCCGGTGGGGCTGGCTGGCACCGCGCCCCAGCGCTGCCCACCCGGGCAGGGTCACTCCGAGGCTCACAGCACCCATGGCAGGAATGAGGCCCTTCATCCCTGACCAAGACATCGGGTACTTTGAGACCTTCCTGGAGAGCATCGGCATCCGCGAGGGCGGGATCCTCACCGACAGCTTCGGACGCATCAAGCGCAGCATGAGCAACACGTCAGCCTCGGCCGTGCGCAGCTACGACAGCTGGTCCCTGCGCTCCGAGTCCGAGTCCTTCAACCGCATGATCACGGACATCACCCACGACATCGAGGCGCTGGCGCGGGATGAGGAAGAGGAGGAGGAGGAGGAGGAAGAGGACAACTACCTGTGAGGGAGTGCCAAAACCCAGCGGTCCCCTCCTTGCTCACCGACACGGTGCTGCACCTCCAAGCCCAGACTGGCCAGGTGTCCAGCTCTGCCCCAGTGCCTCGGAGGGGGGACATTGTCACTGCGGGAGGGGACAGGGACTCTGTACTGCCCTGGCAGCTCTTGGCAGGGCTGACGGCATCACAAGGCAGCCGTGGCGGTGGGGGACACCCTGGCCGGCAATACCATGTGCTGTAATTTCTGCAAATTGCAATTAAATGCCAGGGCTGGGAGCGGAGCAGGTTCTTGCCTGGGGAAAGGCTGTGCCGGGGCGCAGAGGCTGCTGCGATGGGGGGCGAGCCGGGGCAGGGGGGCTGCTCGCAGCCCTGCCAGGCACCGTGCCACTGCTGGGCTGGGCACTCTGTCCACCCTGGTGCCACATGCAGGTCGCCCCCGGAGTCGGGGTGCTCCCAGCCATGCTGGCCTGGCCCGAGGGATGCTTCTGGCAGTGCAGGACCCCAGAAAGCTCAGAGCAAATTGGGGGGGCCTTACAACACAGAGGCGGGGAGTGGTGGGGAAGTCTGTTCCTGCCAGGAAAGCACCCGAGAGCCCCCGCAGCCCCAGGGATGCTCTGAGCAAGGGCTGCCGGCGCAGCATCCCCCATCCTGCTGCCGAGCACCCCGGTTTGAGGGCAGGGCTTGGGGGTGGGTGAAGCTGAGATGCAGGCCATGCTGCGGGCAGGCGTCCCTCGTTCCGTGAGCGACGTCCCTGCAACGCCCGCCCGGCTGGTTGCGGGGCGGCGGGTGTTTCACAAAAGGAAGTTCCAGCCCTGGGACCTGGCTTCCTGCAGCACTGCCCTGCAGCCCTCCTGCCGCCAGCAGACAAGGGACGGGGCCGTGCTCCCCGCCGGCCGATGGCCCCCGGCCACTGGCCACCGGCCAATGTCCCGTGGCTGATGTTCCTAGGCCGATGGCCCCTGTCCACCGTCCCTTGGCGGGGGCTGCGGGACAGGGCTGCAGCCCCAGGCCAGTGCATGGGCAGGCAGATGCTGGGGGTACCTGCAGCAATTTTTTTTTTTTTTTCTTAAAAAAATTTACATATGCAAATCCTTATGCAGGCGAGGTGCTCGCCACCCTGGCTGCTTCCTCTGCTGCTCCTGAGCTGGAGCAGGGGCTGGACCCAGCCCTGCCTGTCCACGACGGCCGGTGGTCAGTGTCACAGCGGAGCCGCAGGTCCCTTTGCTGCTGCCGTCCCCGTCCCAAATTCAGGGGTGCTCTGGGTGAACCAGAGCACCGGCTGGAGCACCGGGGGGAAGCCCGGGAGGACCTTTGGCATGAGAACACCAGGGCCAGGAGAGACCTAGCAAAGCCCATGGCCTCCCCGGCCCCTCCGAGCTGGGGTGCACAGCGTGAACCCCATGCCCTGCACCCCCCCATGCCCCGCACCCCATCACGGGGCAGCACTCGGGGGTTTCCTCTTTTCTCCTCCCTGGGAACCCAGGACCAGGCTCGCACCGTGGCCAGCCTGTGCTCGCCCAGTGCCCCCCACTGCCGCCCCGGGCGAGGAAACAGCCCGGGGGTGCTCGGGGGTGCTGTCCCCCAAACCACCCCAGGCCCGCGGGTGGAGAGAAGGGCTCTGGCAGCCATCGGCAGGACGTAAAGGTGACCCCGACGGCAGCAGGGTCCCCGCGGGACCGGGATGTTCCTGCGGGCAGCACGGGCACCCTTGCAATCTGGTTCTGCTGCCTTTGGTCCTCAGGGGTCCCGTTTGGACCGGGGGTGGAGGGGGGGGTTGTCCCGTTCGGTCCGTGATGGGGGTCCCTGGGGGTCCCCACTCCCATCCCGGTTTGGGCCCCCCGGGGCCGGTACAGGGAGGTATCGACCGGGGCCGCCCCGTCGGGCAGCACCAGCGGAGTCGGGGGGGTCCAGCGGCCCCGGGACGGCCCCGGGGGGCGTGGCCTTACCGGGGAGGGGTGTGGCCTTACCGGGGAGG